AAGTTGATAAACACAAGCAGGTATGGTAGAGGTAATGACCCAGGTGACCCGGCATTCACTCGGAAGTCATAAACCTGAGTACAATATCAGCTGCATTTCATAATTTGGAATTGGACAGCAATAGTGTAAAATAAAGGTTCGTCCCTCCTACTGCTCTCCCTCCCCAGCCCTGCTCTAGGGACTGGCTCCGTGACACCCCCAAAAGAGCTAACAAAAAATGCGGTCAAGGCAACTAGAAAGGCTCTTGTTGTGAAACATCAAGAAAGGAACTCCAGTAACATCAAGAAGTCTTAACATTGCAAAAGAGTTCCCCTTTAACTTCTGGACATCATCTGCTGAAAGCTTGCCTGAAGAAGAGCCCTTCAGACCTCTTGCTTATTGAACTCTGAACTCTGTCAGAACTCCTAAAACCAGGACTGTTAAGTATTCACCTTTTTATTCCCTTTTTTTTTTTTTACTTTTATATATTTTGTCTCTCTTTATTAATACCTTTTTCTGTATATTTTCTGCACCGTTTCTTTTATTAAAGGACAATCTTAAAAAGCTTATCTTTTTCTTCTCTGCCTGGGACCGTCACAAATGCCTATGCTTTACACATAAACTTTGCATGAACGGAATGTTAAGCTGTTGACCAGATGGTATAGGTCCCTGGTCAGAATGCACCAGATCTCCTCCGCATACTCGGACAACTGCTGGAGAAGCCAGGCTGGACCTGGCACACTAGCCCACCTATGGTGGAGCTGCCCTCTGCTTCTGCCCTTTTGGCGAGTGATCTCTACTCCAGAGTCACCTCCATCGAGCTGCACATATCTCCGGAAATGGCCCTATTGTCGGTCTTTTTAGGCTCTATCTCTAAGGTGAAGACATCTCTGCTCAGATTCTTTATCATAGCGGCCAGAGCTTTAATCCCACGACATTGGAACTCCCCTGTCGTTCCATCAGTTGCGGAATGGACAGCGGAAATGTGCCGCCTGATGAGATCTGAGGAGCTGATTGCGGAAAGGGCTGATCGATCTGATATCTTTTTGACCAGATGGATGCCATGGATTTTGTTCTTGGACACTGAGGAGTTTCGGTCTCTGCGGTGAGTTTGCATAGATACGTCTGATACTTCAACTATTCTGGGGGTGAATTCGCGGGTTGTGTGGTGGGCTCACCCCCCCACCTCCCCGTTTGCCCACCCATTACAGCTTTGTACGGACGTCTCCGAACCAATCCCTCCCCTTGCCTCCTCTTCTCCACTTTGACTCTTACTCCCCCCCCTCACGTTTCCTCCATATCCCTCCTCTTTACTCTCACTTTCTTCTCCTGTTCGTCTGTGGTAAATGTTACTCATGCAGTGCCGTGGTCACTTGGATTTCGTGACCACCGGTCGCCTTTACTCAGGACTGATCCACCACCGATAGTGGGGCAGCGGTCTAGGCCTGGTGTGGTGGCAAAACTTAAATATAAGCTTAACTCAGGGATTTTTTATAGGTGCTTACACCATGAGTGCCTTTTATGCTACTAGGCCCGGACCTAACACATCATTTGTGAGACCATAGTCTGTATGATGTATGTACGTCTTTTGATTTTGTCATTGTATCCCGACCTTATTTGTTTGTAAAACCTTTAATAAAAACGTATTTCTGAAAAAAAAAAAAGCTTATCTCTACGCTGTAAATGCGAACTTAAAATATCCTTACCTCTGTATAGAGCGCTGCTGTATAGTGAATATGTCATATTCCTGTCTGGGAGGACAGCGGTATCATATGCATTGTTTAAGTGTTTTAAATTGTCAAAGCACTTGCTGGGCACGTTCTGTCTTTCCGTTAAAAAAACACATGGTGGCAGCGAACGTTTGTGGGTAAAGGGTTAACTGTGGAGTTAACCAACCCTGGGGATGATCGCTCTGTCTGCTAGCCTGAGATTGTGTCCTGCGAGCTGAGAAATCTCTGTGCAGGGTGAGGCTGAGAGTGGTATTGCCACGTCCTTATGTTCTTCTTCCAGTGTAGAGGAGCTGTTTTTAAATCCATTTTATCAAAAAGACACTCCTTCACACTGTTATTTCCATTAAAAATTCTAATCCTGTTGATTCTAACTTTGCCTTCACTCATTCACGGGCCATGTCCACTTTATCTCCATTCCCAAACAATCACCACTTGCAGCTTTTTGCCCATAACAACTTGTTGTAAAATAGTAACACAGAAAACAAAACTATAAGATCATACCATAAAATGGCTGAATAATATGTGACCTCAGGAAATGTACTCAACAAGATCACATGACTGCATATAGCAGAATTTCCCAATATCTGTCTAGATGTCACTTTAGATGAAGGTTTTGTGAGGATTTTCTTCTGTTCAGCCCGTCGGAACACTGAGTCGTGGTTTAGGTATTTCTGTTTGGGCCTCCCAATGTCTGCTAAGAGGAAGTACCAGTCTCACTGGATTGTGGTTCTAGTCTCATTGGTTTTCAGTTAGCATATGGAATACTGCCTAGTGTTTTATTTAATTTTTTTGTTCTCATTCCCATGTTGTCTAATAGTTTTTATTTAAAAAAATGCTAATGTTGTGGGGAGCATGCCCAACAGTAAAGTAGCAAGCCTCTTAGCGTGTGCTTATCTGCCCTATCCTTTCCCTTGGTGTTACTACAAATGCTACTGTGCCCTCATTAAGGATTGTTCACGGGAGTCTAGCCTTTAGTAAGCTCTTTTACTGCAAACGGCAATTGCCAGCACACATTTCGAGGGTATGCAGGCCCTCTTTGTCAAGGCCTCTTTATGTTGAGTCTTTAGCAGCACCTCTACTGGTCATGCATTCTGGAAGTTTGGAGACCAGGAGTTTTTGTGCAGCATGAATGCATCTTTCAGAATCTTACCCATTAATTCACTACTTTTCTTTGCTCCTGTTCTGCATCCAGCTACATAGTTACATAGTTAGTCAGGTTGAAAAAAGACACAAGTCCATCGAGTTCAACGTATAGAGATAAGGAGCAAAAAAAAAAAGAGAATAAAAGTCTAAACAGACCGCTATGCCCACAGCTACCCCCTGTTGATCCAGAGGAACATCTGCGTTCCATCTTAAATTACCCTACTATTCACTCTTCTTCTACCCCTCTAATGCACTTAGCGCTGTGTTTTCTTCTCAGTGTTTGTCAAGCCCACTTATATCTCTGCTCCTATATTACCTACTACTGCCATCTGTAACAGACTCAAAGCACCATGTAGTAACTGACCAGATTTTGGGGTAAGTTCCTTTCTGTGGGTAGCAAAGGAAAGGGGTCTTCATAAAGCTAAGTGTCCCCAACTGGAAAAAAAAACCATCACACAGCTCTCCTCAAACTCGTGCCCCTGTCCACCTTACAACTGCTGTGTTTCAGGGCTATGTTCCTTCATCAGTTTCATCAGTGGGCTATAGGGACATGGTTCTCAAACACTTCCTTTTCTGTTAGCGCAGACCCATAGGTAGCATTCTATGTGAAGAACTTGTGTTTTGTTAGAGGGTTCTTTTAAACGTGCGGGTGACTTAGCCCAGAGCTTCACACTAATGCCAGTGTAGGAAGAAAATATACATGCAGTTGGCAACTCTCCTATATCTCTTCTGCCCATCTGTGCTCCGAATAGGGCTGCAACGAATGATTATGTTCATAATCGATTAGTTAGCTGATTTATTTTTTCGATTAATCGGATAAAAAAATTAAACAAACACTAACCTTATAAATAAAATACACAAATGCAGTGTATGAAACATAAAGCTTACTTCAGAATCAAACTGCATGCAATCGCACTACACTGAAACGCACAGCATTGCTTTACCATGTGTTCCAGTGCGGGCGATCACACTGTGGGTGGGAGGCATGTTTGGAGTGCCATTTGAATGAATGGCCCTGCAACGCACCTCCCACAATGAATAGCTTCAGCGAGGGAATGACAGCTGCCAGTGGCAAGATTCCACAGACGACCGCTAAGGCCCCATTCACACTGAGCGATTTATCGAGCGATTTTTGCAGCGATATCGCTCATATTTCCACGCGATATCGCTCTATGTAGCTTCTTCAATCCATTTCAATGGAGCTGTTCACATCTCGTCGCTCAATATAGCTCAATATCGCTTGTAGCTCGTCGCTCGTAGCTTGTCGCTCCTACATGACCCTTTTTTCAAGCGATTTCGAGCGATATTGCTCCTGATTGCATACAGCCCAATAGGAAAAAGTCGCTCAATAGCGCTCGTCGCGCAATATCGCCCAAAGATTTTCATGTCGCTCAGTGTGAATGGGGCCTAAATGTAAATACAGCAGGTAGTTGGCTGGTGCAATAGTCAGCTTGCTATTTGCCATTTCAAAGTGTAATAGCCAATAGCAGGCTGGCTATTGCACTCGCCCACTGCTTGCTGTGCCCCTCCTCCCAGCGTGTGGATCCAACCAACTAATCGATAATGAGAATAATTGACAACTATTCTCATAATCGATTATTATCGATTAGTTGCAGCCCTAGCTCAGAGTGTGAAATTGTGTAAACACCTTTCACAGTTTCCACTTTCCTGTTAAAACCGTTGCACAGAGCCTAAATATGACTATTCAGTGCACTAGGCATCAGAGTTGACCGCACTACCCAGTGTCCTTTGTAATTTACCAGACGTGGTCAGAGACGCACATTCTCTACCTCAGCACTACAAATCTACATGGAGATGCTTGTGAATAAGGGGTGTGGATGTTACTCATCTATGCAGGCACTTTTCTCTATCTAGTGAGAAAAGTGTGGCACTAAAATTTGGGATTTGACTGTAGTGTAGTCTGTGGGAAGGTCCAGGCCCGGGTTGTACAGCCTGATCACAAGATCAGCTGAATAAATTTACAAATCCTTTGCCAGATTCACATATAAGTATTTCAAGTGTGTATTTAGCGATTTACACTAGAGTTCAGCTTTAAATATTTTTTAAAAGCAAATGTATTTAACAAGCCAGTATGATCATTTGTTTTGTGCTATTGTAGCTTCAGAAATTATATTTTTCTCATTTTAGAAACACCGCCTGCGTCTCATAGCTACAGATGGAGTCTTCTCTATGGACGGAGATATTGCTCCTCTACGTGACATTTGTGGCCTGGCAAAGCGTTATAATGCTCTGGTGTTTATAGATGAATGTCATGCCACTGGCTTTATGGGACCAAATGGACGGTAAGAAATATTGGGACATATTCATATTAACTGTATTCATTGGTGTTTATACAACTGCTTGATTTTAAGCTTTGAACTTAAAATAAAGAAAAAAAAGAATCCTCTTGCACATACCTGTAGCAGCTTTCATTGCCTCATCAATGCTACCTGGCAGTAACTAAGCATACTCGCCTCCTTTTATATCCGACAGGTTCCTATAGGCCAGTTAGGCACACCATCATAGTAATGGGTTGAGTGTCGTAGGTTTGCCCTTTCAGAGCAAGACGCTAGAGGGGAAATTAAAATCTACTGCAGATACTGTATGTTGAGGCACATTTAGGTGCTATAAGTTTAGATCTGACTAACAGCTTTATGGGGTTTTTTTTGTAAGGCACAGAGATGGAAATTTATCATAACTGGAGCAGACAGAATCTGGAACAGTTGCCCATGGCAACCAATCGACTTCTAGCTTTTATTTTCAAAGCTCAACGAAACCATTTGAAGAGATAAACTGATTTGTTGCCATGAGCAACTGCTCCAGATTCTGTCTGCTCCAGTTTTTATGAATTCCCCCCAGAGAAGTTACATAATTTTGTCCCTTTAGGCAAGGATAATTACTATATGATAGAATACAATTAATAAATTCATTTGTATGGTACCAGCAAAATCTACAGCTGTTTATATACTGTAGATGTATCTGATCTGAGGTTTGTAGTTGTACATATGTAAGTGGTTGGCATAAGCAAGTAGAAATATAACAAACATGACAAAGAGGGTAGTTTAATGGTGCATTCTTTCATAAACGCATTGATTTTGTACTTTAGTGAAGATATACCACAGCCAGTGGCGTAACAATCGGAGGGGGGCAGCTGGTGCACTGGCCCCAGGCGTAGAGCTGAGGGGGGGCGCCATTTTCCTGCCGATATATTGGCGCATACGTGATTTCTTTCCTCCCCTCTGGGCGCTGCTCTGTGTCCCAGCAAGGAGGAGAGAAAGTTACAGCCGGCCGAGCGCTGCAGGAAGAGAGCGTTGTGAGCAGCCGGTGTCTCTCCTCCCACACCGCTCAGCCACCTATCACAGTCCGGCAGAGCGGTGTGGGGGTAAAGACAGCCCATGCTGTCACAGGAGGCTGGGTTCTCCTCTCTGCTCTACTCGCTCAGCCTCCTGTGTCAGAGAGGAGAGCAAGATACAAACACTCAGCGATCAGTGATCGCTGAGTGTTTGTAGATAATCGAGGACATGGTATGTTAACTACAGCCTCAATTATGAATGAATAGGAGTGAGCTACATCACCTCCTGTTCATTCATAGTTGTGGTTATAGCAAACCTACTCTTATCAATGAACAGGAACACTCATAAAGGATTCCTATTCATTGATAATAGGGGATACAGAAAAAGAGATTGAGGACTTTGTGTTCTCAATCTCTTTTTCTATTTTCAAAGAGAAATATCAGGGGTCTGTTTAGTAGTAAAGTAAAAAATACAAATATTTTAATAAAAAATGAATAAATGAATTAATAAATAAAAATAAATATTAAAAAAATAAATGAAAATTAAATATGTAAAAAATTTGAAAAAATTTAAATAAAAACATGTGGGGGTGAGGGGTGCGAGGTACAGTTCCAGTGGATGTTTATATGATGGGGGGATGCTAAAAAAAAATTCTGCCCCGGGCTCCCATAACTCTGGTTACGCCACTGACCACAGCTTCCTTAAGTTAAATGTATAAGTTCCAATGTTTTCACTGTGTCTTTTTTGATAGGGGCACAGATGAGCTTCTTGGAGTGATGGACCAAGTAACTATTGTGAATTCTACGCTTGGCAAGGCATTGGGTGGAGCTGCAGGTCTGTTCTATGAACATGGGCCATCCATGTAGCAGGACACACATTATTACATAGTGTAAACTGAGAACAAAATTTAACTTAAACAATACTAAAAATTGTGGCTGTGTGCTTTTCTCCTATGTATTTAAAATCACATTGTGGAATTATAAATTTTGGATACCCATAAAACTTTTTTAGACTGAGATTGCATAAAATATAACTGTTCCTGCTTCTACAGCTATATTTCTGTATCAATACGAAGTAGAGAGGCCTGATGAGTTAGCAATGTGATTTATTACTGCAATGTGAAATACCTGCCAGATGACTAGCCAAAAGAGTTTAAACCTTTACATTTTGTACTGACACAATGACACAGAGAGTTGAATGAAGTGAGGGCACCTGATCTAATATAGTGTAAGGACAGCTAAGGCTGGGTTCACACCTAGGCGTACGGAATATGAGCGTTTGCCTCGCATCTTTACCGTGATTTGCGGTAAAAGAAACGCGCGTTTCCGAGGGCTATCCCGCTGTATCCTAATGGATACGCGCGACAAATACGCCCCAAAGAAGCTTCTGTACTTCTTTGGGCGTAGTGCGTTTTACAGCGTGTTCCTACACGCTGTAAAATGCCCAGGTGGGAACCATGCCAATAGGCAATTATTGGTTTTCACATGTTGAGCGTGTTACAGCACGTAGGAACGCGCTGTAAAACGCCCAGGTGTGAACCAGGCCTAAAGGCTAAGGCAGGCAAAGTAGGATCTTATTTGGTAACACAAGGCGGGGCGAGAGAGGCCAGAGGGCAGATATTGTCCAAATATAAGCAATAGTCAACACCAGGAAATAGCCAATGGGGCAAGCTGGGTGAACCACAGGATTTGTGTATATTCTGTAATGCCATCCTTGAGAAGTAGTTTAGTTTTGTGTTATGCAAGAATCTAAACATTTAGCATAACATTATTTTAATTGTGCGCACTTGCCTATGAAAGATTTATAGTTGTCCCCTTTATAAAGCTTCACTTCTTTTGAGAATGACCCATCAGCCTGATGGTCACCTGGTGTCTTACAGCTGCTACCCTGACAACTACTTGACCTTACACACAGCCTTGACCAAATATGGATCACCTGGAGGAGGTTTGTTTCCTTTTCTGATAACAATTTTACTTTATCTTTAAGCTGTAGGTCTGGAAAATTAACATACCCGTTAATCCTGCTAGAAAAACTGCGAGATACAGTACAGTGAGTGGGGTTGTCACCTTAGGACAGGAAGTGTGTTACAGCTGGATTGCTAGGGAAAAAGTCTTAAAAAAACAAAAAAACTAAACTAATTTAGTCACCACACCTAAGCACTGTTAAGCTGCAATATATTCAATGTTAGTTCTTAGGATTTAAATACACTTTAACGTTTAACTTGTTTTCTAGTGACTTTAACAGGCTATTTGTTCCATATCTCCTTAGGTGGGTACACAACAGGCCCAAAGCCTCTGATTGACTTGCTGCGGCAGCGCTCCCGGCCATATCTTTTCTCCAATACTCTTCCCCCAGCTGTGGTTGGCAGTGCCTCCAAAGCGCTTGACCTCTTGATGGCAAGCAATACAATTGCCCAATCGATGACTGCTAAAACGGCACGGTGAGAACATGCAAAATAAAAGTATAGTCCTTTTCAGGAACTCTTGTGGTTCACACACCTCTCCCACACTGCACATCCTTCTTTTCTGGTTCAGCTTTGCAGCTTCTTATGTGTCCTCTCCTCTCCTTTTCCAGGCTGCTCAGTGCTAAATTAATCAACATAATCTCCAATTCCCAATGAATAGGGATGTGTTCAAGGTAGCAGAAAAGCTTGTAGGGTGTAATAGCTGTGCTTTCTCCAGGCTGTGCAGTGGGGCAGAGGTGTGTAAAATGTAATTTAATTTATGTAATCTGTGTATTAAGCAGTTTGCCTGAGGCTCCACTTTAAAGCCCATTTCCAGGCTAATTTTTAAATTCAAAAATTGTTCCCCTGCAAAAAAACAGATAAGGCTCCAATATTCTCCTTCAATCTTGATCTATCCCCACAGTGCCTCTTCTTTGCCACAATTTTTAATCGGTCTTTTGGCTTGAATGATGCCCAGCGTTGCTCAGCCCAGAAGACTGAGGACTATATTGAATACAGGGCATGAGGTACCCTTAATTTCCTGTGCAATGATGCAGAGGGCAGTACTAACGGTAAAAAAAAAAGTTAAAAAAAGTATTATAAGTGCACACCAACATTACAATGTGGCATTGCATGGCTAGACCATTGTAATGTTGGTGTGCACTTAGTATTATAAGATTTGGAAAAGAAGAACTGGCAGCCATCAGGATCTGCAATAATATGAAAAATTTTAGCCCTTGCATGTATATAATTTCTGTTTCATTCCACAGCAAAGCAGTTTTATAACTTTACAAATAAATAACCTGTGATATGTTATAGGTTTCGCAACAAGATGGCAGCTGCAGGTTTCACTATATCTGGAAACGACCATCCTATTTGTCCCGTGATGCTTGGAGATGCCAGACTAGCTGCAGCAATAGCAGATGATATGTTAGAAAGAGGTATGGTGTAGGAGGTGTATATGTGTTGGTTTATTTAAAAGGTACTTGTCAGGTCAGAACTGTCCAATCTACCACTGCCGACTTGTTTTGTAAAGTTACAGGCTCTAGGGCTGTAATCTTTACTAGGGCTGTGGAAATTGAAGATGAATTTCTCGATTTAATCGTTAAACTTTTTGATCGATTACATTTATTTTGATCGCTAATGAAAACACTCACCTCTCCGCTGGCTTCTGGGAGTCCCGTCAGCGATCCGGTGACGTCACGGACATCGACGTCACCGGACTCCTCCCCCCTTCCCCAAGTGGCCCCGTGACGGCTAACGAAGGGAAGGGGGGAGAAGTCCGGTGACGTCGATGTCCGTGACATCACCGGACTCCTCCCCCCTTTGTTAGCCGATGGAGCCACTTGGGCCGGTGAGTTTGCCCAAGAAACTCTCTGCATGAGCGCCAGCCAGGGCGTTGGCCTATACACATACAGCACAGCAATAAAGTAATAAAATGAACCAGGATCACACTAATCCAGCATGTTATTATTGAGTTGCCCCACTCAAGCGGCGGCCATATTGAGTGGGGCACGTGAGATTAATAACGTGCTGGATTAGTGTGATCCTAGTTCATTTTATTACTTCATTGCTGTGCTGCATGTGTATAGGCCAATGTAGTTGGATCTGTATATGCGTTATAATTAATCAAAATTAATCGATTAAAAAAAATTTGATTAATCGAACATGACAATTTTAATCATTACCAGCCCTAATCTTTACCCTTCTGCATTAGTCACGGACCTGGAACAAGCACAATATGAGGGTTTGTTCTGGGTCTTAGACTCAGTGAAACCAGTATAAGGATGATGGAAATCGTTGTCAACTATTTCCATCATCGATTAGTTGGTCATTCGATTAGTTGCCCTGCTTGCGGCTCCACGCACGCTGCTTATCCTCCCCACCTCACCCAGCACTCGCAATGACTGATCCAGTTCAAGGGGGTGGTGGCGGCCACACCATCCACGATCGTCCCAGGGAGATGTGTTAGACTGAAGCGAGGAGGAGCGGGCAGGGGGAGGACAGCAGCCACTGACAGACCCGCCCACACTACGATCGTCACAGGGAGATGTGTACTTGTTAGACCAAAGCAAACGCGAGAGGAGCGGGCGGTGGGAGGATGGGGGGAAGATGGCGCAGCTCATCTCATCAGGTGAGATGTTGGGGAACCAGGGGCTCACTGGGCAGGGCTCCGGTTGTGATTACTGTATACAGTTTGTCACTGTGTGCAGGGAGATGATCATTTGTGTCTGGACTGGGGCGAACATGAGGAGAGGAGGGCAGCCTGAGACTGCAGGGAGGAAAGCACTGTCCTTTAGCCAGGGCTACTGTGTTACTCCGGAAGTAGGACTGTGCAGTGTGCTCAAGTACATGTCTGTGGTGGAGATGTTTCTCCTCCCCCCTGTGAAATGTCCCCCCAACACCCCCCACTGCCTGCACCTCCCCCCCACTGACAGCCTGATATCACATTGCAGTTCCCTCCTCTACAAAACACCAATGCCGAGCTATTATAAAGTAAAAGTGAGTGGCTCAAGTGACCAATTATAAAGTGGAAATATAAATATAATGTGGAAATATAAATCCCAGGTGAACAAAAATGGTACATTTCGCTGTATAATGTAATGCTGGGATTTGTAGTCCTCTATGGCCGATGCCATTCCTCATTGATTGTTGTATAATTTTACACTTTCCATTTCACTATATTGCACACCACACTTTTTTTACTTCCAGCTGCAAAAAAACGCATTATAAAAATGTCAGAGGGTGCTGACAAGGTGACCGTTGAAAAAAGTGTGCGAACCAAGTCCTCAAAGACACACTGTCCTTACTTCTGGAGGATGACTACTTTTGTTCCCCATGATCCCTGTGTGTAGTAAAGTAGCCACCGCTCCAAGCTTCCTCCTGTGAGGGACAAAAATCTCAATACAAACTAGTAGTCCATCACTGGAGTGATTTAAAAAAAAAGTAGGGAAGTATTGGATTTCACTGTTTGAGCGTTTTTTCAGCGCTTCGACCAGCGCTGAAAAACGCCCAGGTGTGAACCCAGCCTAATAGAAATGTGGGAATTCCCTCTGCTGGCTCATTCTGTCTCCACTACTTTGTATGTCAATGACTTGCAACAAGCAATTATATCAGATGTCAAACACCTGACGTGCACATGCTTGTTCTTGGTAAGTAACCTGCTCTAGTAAATTAAAGGTGCCCACACACCTTACGATTATCGTACGATAATCGTATGCGATCGACTTATCGTACGATAATCGCAAGGTGTATGGGCAGTGTACAACTGCAAATACTGTACAATCATACGACTTTTGTCTTTCAAGCATGTTTGAAAACTGTGGTGGATCGTACGATTATCGCAACTTTAGTGGCGTTTCCGTACGTCAAAAATCGTACGATCTACACTGCTCATGCGCAAACTAAAATACCGCCATTCGATTACCGCAATTCGTCCACGTGCTTTTCTTCAATTACGGATAATTGAACCATGCGATAATCGGGGCATTATGGGGCCGCAGTACGAAAATCGTACGACGGTTCGATCATCGGACGGAAAGTGTCGTCCGATGATCGCAAGGTGTGTGGACTGGCCACCTTAGACTTACGATGACAACATCAGCAGACAGATTCCCAGTAGCCATTGCCGGCCTCCATCTGAAAATGTTAGTTGTCTTGCTGTTGCACTGCCCACCTGGCTTCAACACATTGTGTACCACTGACACAAAACCAGTTTTCAGATCAGTCAGAAAAGTCAGAGAACATTCAGAAAAAATGTCAGTCCTTATCTGCATTCTTGATCCAAACCTGTGGTTCAAATGATTGATGCAAAAGAATGACAGCCAGACAACTATTATTTTCAGAAGGAGAGGTCCGCACCCCAACCTCCATGTTTCTCTCATGACAGGTTTCCCTACATCCCCTAATATCAGTGTACTCTGGCCTTTCATAGAGGAATGTAATCATTCTGGCATTCCTAATATCAGTGAAGTGACATCACCCAACCACTACCTGTCCTTCCTTTTATTCCCACAGATCCCATTCTGCCAGGGTGTGGCAGCTGAGAACAGGTCAGGGTTAGGATATGCACTCTGCGCCCATTCTCTAAAGCAGTGCATCAACACCCCATCTCTCTTTTGAAATGCAAAAAGAAAAAGATGGATGGCTGTTTAACATCTGCTCAAATGCTTCAGGAACCTTTTCAGTTTATTTTTTAGTTAGATTTACAGGGGAAATTATCTAACTGTAGTTGTGCTTTAAACTAAAACTAGGTAAACTAAATTAACTTTTGAAATGCATACAAGTATACAGTGGGGGGAATTTATCAAAACTGGAGCAGACAAAATCTCGAGCAGCTTTGCATGGCAACCAATCTTCAGTTTGTTCAGTTAAGATTTGAAAATCAAAGAGAGATGCTCCAGATTTTGTCTGCTCCAGTTTTGATAAATTCACATTTTTCTGCCTAAGGTATTGTTGTTCTGTAGAGTTCTGTTCATTGTTTTCAAACAGGATAAAAATGCTACAATCCATTATATTACAAATTCACTTTGTATCATCTACACGCAGTGTATATTATTGTGGTTAGAATTTGTAATATAATGGATTGTAGCATTTTTATGGCATTTACACGTTGTCTATAACATTGCGGTTTGAATGTCTAACATAATTGATTGTTGCCGCTTGATATTATGTACATGTCATATATTTTAATGTTGCTCCTTTATTTGCCTCAGTGCTACATTTGATGATAATTTTTACCAACGAATTTGTAACTATGTGACAAACTCTAAAAAGTTCACATACTTTATAGCTGCTATTAAGATTACTAAGAGCCACTCCCATTAGATCTAGAAGATCTCCCGATCTAGAGAAATTTTATCCTTTTAAAATTCTTTAAAATTCCTTTAATCACACAACCTTTTTTTAAATATATATATATATATATAATACTGCTATTCGTTTTAGTAATTTTCAGACAATAATTTTAACTATCAATGCCAATGTTTTTACTCATCAGTAACGGCGGTTTTCCCGTCAAGACAGGTGAGAGCGCATAGCGGAAATACCGGCAATTGGTCTGACACTGCCACATTACCTTTCCAGTGATAAACCCTTGTGATTGGTTAACGATTAATTTAAATAGAGCAGGATATAGAAGAGTTCATTCAGGTTCTGATGAAGGGGGCGTGCCCCTGAAACGCATAGACCGTTCAAACTCACACTGGCAGAGGACTTTTGATCTGTTTTCATTCTGTGAGACTCCCGCTGCCAGAGATTTCCATTGCATCGTCTTACATGCTTTTATTGATCGATCCTTCTTGTGAGTACAATTTCAGCTGTGTTGCCGTTTGAATAAATGACTTTTTACACGATGGAGGCGCTCTGTTTTGCTTTGTATTTCCCAGATCGAAGGTCAATTTGACCGGTGGGAGCTGCCTCATCTGTGTTTCTACTAAACGTCCAAATTGGCCATTCTCTCGTAACCGGCGGCGCCGGTATTTGCTTGGATGTCACCCACCTGCATCCAGCTTCTTTATTGAACAATTAATCTACATCTTTATCGTTGTATCTTGAGCAGGGCGCTGACCCAGGAAGCATTAATACTAAACCAAAAATTAGCTGAGTGATCTTAATAAAAGTAAGAAGTGTGTTTTGTATCACAAGAATAGCCAGCTAAATCTACAAGTATTTTAGCTGGTAAAACTATGATATTATGTTTAAAGGTGAACTGGAGTTACTCTTTAAACCTTTATGCAAATCCTGAAGTCTTCAGGCCAGTCTGGTGATGTCACGGAGTCTTCCTTTTTTTCTGCGGCGATAGGCAGTCCCTCCTCCTGGACTGGGTGCACTGATATGTTATTAGACAGAGGTACTATGAGCCTAGGTTGTATGTTATATCTATAACGGCCTGGGTCACAGGAAGGAAGTGGGTTGGATGACGCTTTCTGTCAATTAAACTCTCAGAGCAGTAAACCTAAGATCCCAACAATATTGTGGGGATTCACTCCAATGCTCGATTGACAGCTGGCTCTGCCTCTCTAGAGGCAAAGTTGGCTGTTCCCGTCCCCTTCCCTGTCTGTCCCTCCAATTGGCGCAGGAGGAACAGAGAGGAGAAGGAGGGAGTCCATGCAGGGAGTGGTGATTGACAGGACAGTGAAGACCGGGAGCTAAGCGATCAACGGTTTGTGATTGCTCAGCTCTTGATCTATTAAGCCATGCCCGCTCTATAGCTCATGAACTGAGTGTCACAACTGCACTGTCACACGCAGGCTCCCTCAATACATCTTTTTTTAAGAATGCTAAGCTGATCTCCCAATTTAGTCATTCATACTCCTTACACTTAGAATTTTCCACATTTGTTGTCCATATTATGAAATAATCTCTGCATATAAATGGTTAATACATCCTGCTATGTAAAGGATTAAATAAGTAGCACACGTACTTTCAGTACATGTTTACATTTCTCCTATCTTTCTTCTGCCAGGTATCTATGTTATTGGATTTAGCTACCCTGTGGTGCCTAAGGGTAAAGCTCGCATCAGAGTACAGATTTCAGCAGCTCATAGCGATAAAGATATTGACAACTGTGTACAAGCATTCACAGAGGTGGGCCGTAAACATGGCGTAGTGCCATAAGACAGTGGAAGAAACGGAGGACATGACTGGTCAATATAAAGTTTCATCTGGAATGCCTATCATGCAGATGCTGCAACAGCCAAAGAAAAACAGGTGTACCCGCTTACTGAAGAGTTGGATGTAACATCAGTCAGTAGCGATGCACTTTATTAATGATGCAATTGTTACATAAAGGGTGAGCTACCAGACAACAGTGGGTTTATTCACCATCTAACTTCATATCCCTCAGTGATATTAAAGTATACATGCAAGCTGCCATTGCTTTCTTTTAAAATTCTAGTTGCAAAAATGTCTCCAAACAAGAATGTAGCAGGTGTCCGAGCAAAGTTAGAACAGATGTACATACTTTTTCTTTGATGCAAAAATCATGATTAAAGCCATGCGAGACAAGCAACTAGCAATTTTAGAAGTAGGGGTCAGCAAAGAAAGACTACTGTACTTTGTACTTATTCCCTTGGTTCAGGTTTCTTTAAGCGGCAAGATTTAGCTCCTACCCTTTTGAATAGGGAAGGGGATACCAACTCTTAAAGTGAGCCTGCAGAGAAAAACAAATAACGAAGCTAATGGCAACAGCAGGTGGGTGACCGCATACACTACTCTCCTTCGGACCACTGAAATGAAATAACAACATTTCCAAAGTCATTATTTGCATACAAATAAGCAAGCCCCCTGCTTCTCCAGCACTCAGGTCTGCTTAAAAACAGATTAGGCACTGAACAGTATACTGTAGCATAGAACAGGATGTGCCTAAACTCTACTAATTGGACTGCCCAAGGCTTTCGCACTATGGTGAGAGTTTCTGCAGCCATAAATATGTGGTCATCTCTGCTGATGCTGTTGGCTTTATTTTATTTTACAGCTTTAGGGCCGATTCACACCACAAAGAGTGCGTTCCAGAGTGTTTGGCCTCTGGAACGTAACCCGGCCGGCTCCCTGCGTTCAGGGGCAGGAGGTGGTGTGGCGGTGCATTAAAGTATTAAAGTCAATGGCACCACAGCCACTCCTCCCCCGCCCGCACCGGTACGCAGGCACTAATGTGCCACACGTTCGGGTGCGGGCGATCGCACTGCAGACGGGGCGTGGCATTGACTTCAATGCCTTGCCACGCCCCCACCCGCCCCTAAACTCAGGGAGCCTGCTGATTGTATTGCTGATTGTATTACAGTGCATTCCAGAGGCCGAACACTCTGGAAAGCACTCTGTGAACCGGCCCTAAATTCTTGTAACAAGCGAGGTAGATTTTAAGAACTTGAGTTTAGTGAACTTGTTTCTTTACAATCCCTGAGAGACAAAAAAATATGAAAATATCCATTTTGGATGTACAGGAGGTTTTATTCTCTCCTGCACACCAACTGTTACAAAATATTACTATATAGAATTCAACTAGCCCTCTCTCAAAAAATATGTGGCTGACATTCTCCTCCAACCATGTAAAGTGAGAAATGTGCAAAGCTTTTGTACCAGTGCCATAGAAGACTTCAATGCCTTGCCACGCCCCCACCCGCCCCTAAACTCAGGGAGCCTGCTGATTGTATTGCTGATTGTATTACAGTGCATTCCAGAGGCCGAACACTCTGGAAAGCACTCTGTGAACCGGCCCTAAATTCTTGTAACAAGCGAGGTAGATTTTAAGAACTTGAGTTTAGTGAACTTGTTTCTTTACAATCCCTGAGAGACAAAAAAATATGAAAATATCCATTTTGGATGTACAGGAGGTTTTATTCTCTCCTGCACACCAACTGTTACAAAATATTACTATATAGAATTCAACTAGCCCTCTCTCAAAAAATATGTGGCTGACATTCTCCTCCAACCATGTAAAGTGAGAAATGTGCAAAGCTTTTGTACCAGTGCCATAGACTGCATGTACAGGACTGTTCATCCAAGGAGCGCAATTAGCAAAAATTATGGCACAAAGTGTAGTGTTATCATATTTGTTTACTGGTTATAGCAGTGAAAATGAATACCAATTAATACATTTGGGATAAGTCACTTTGCAGCTTGTACTTTGCATCAATGAGTAAACGTTGAGTTTATAGTAGGGTTGCCACCCGTCCTGGATTCACCCGGACAATCCAGGTTTGGAATCATGTGCCCGTATGTGAGGCTGCTTCACTCCCGGGCACATTATTCAAACCGGACTTGTGGCTCCCTAAGAGAGCCGCATACCGCTGGGCGCCGATATTGTGACGGCCGCACTTATCTGTATCTGTCCCCTCCTCCTGTGGCATGATGTCCTCACCGATACCTCCCACATAGTTCCAGCCCTGACATCACATACAGCACATTCTGAGGTGAAAGAGACGAAGGCGGAGAATGCAGGCACGTTTTAACTCTCATGAATGCTGGGGACTAGGGAGATAGTGTGGACTGGGAGAGGCAGTGGGGACTGGGAAGAATTTGTATTGCATTTTCATTGCATATCATTGAACATTGTTCGGTGACATGCAGTGTAAATGCAATACACATTTTACTAATATATCCATGTACTGTATTACCTGATAAATCATACAATAAGATTTAAATGAATAGTCTTATTGTATGATTTAATAAGTAGTACAGAACAAATGTGCCTATACGTGGTTATATTAGTAAAATGTGTATTGCATTTTCAACATCTGCATTCTCCATACTGTATAATATATAGATGCATTTGTTAAAAAGGCAATACACCATGCAGCAAGTGTTCGGTGTATAAATGCAGTATAAATGCAATACAGTTTTTAATAATATAACCACGTATTGAAACATTTGTTCTATAATATGCAGAGGGGGTGATTCACAGACATTAACATAACTGCAGGAGTGTTAAAATCAGCCAGCGAGCGCCACAGATATATAAAAAAAAAATAAGAAAGAGTGTGCGCATAGTACACCTGAGAGTGCACTTAGTACACCTAGGAGGTGCACAGCCCGTCTGAGAGCCGCACAGACCACCTGAGAGCCCGCACAAGCCACCTGGAGACATCAGGGTGCCAACCCAGAACAACACAGAGAATGTAGCTTCATATTATTTTGGATTGCTGTATCATGTATTGCTGTAGTCCTCTATTGAAGGTCCCCTTACTCCCTCTCCTGGCTGCCTCTCCTCCCTCTCTCCTCTATATTCTCCCCCAAAAAATTGCCACTCGCGGCGCTAAAGTGTTCGGGTATCACTTGAAGAAAAGGTGGCAACCCTAGTTCATAGTCATATGCAGATTTAGTCATATGCAGATTTAAAATCTGTATTATTTGACCCTCCCATATACACAAACAGGTCAATTTGATGGCTTAGATTTTTTTCTTTTTAGTTGTCTTGGTCTGTCCTCAATAAAATAAATATATGCACTTAACTTTTTTGGTCTGTCTTATGTGATAAGCCTGCAAAATATTCAAGCCAAATAATAGTGGACGAGAAATACACAGGGGGAATTTATCAGAACGGGAGCAAGCAAAATCTGAAGCAGCTGTGCATGGCAACCAATCAGCTTCTCTCTTCAGTTTGTTCAGTTAAGATTTGAAAATGAAAGAGAAAGGCTGATTGGCTGCCATGCACAGCTGCTCCAGAATTTGACTGCTCCAGTTTTTATAAATTCCCACTATAGTATTTTATACATTTCCTTTATTCTTCACATTTTTATACTGGACATTTTTATACTGGACAATCTGAAAGTTTTTCAGACTTCATTTTGGTACAGTACAGTAAGTAAAGCAAGTCAAAAATGTAACTGTCCCATATATACAGCTTTCTTTAAAATGTTTGTCTAATACATTTTTGCCCTATTCATTGTGATAAATAATACCAAATTAAAACGATGTTTAATATTAAAATAACTAAAAATAATTTTATGTATAGCAATTTTATCTAAACTACTGCATCCAGTGCTAGGGGTAAAATATACACACATACACACACACTCATTGTGTTTCCATATAAAGGTTGCTGTATCGTTTACTGTTAGCTGTGTTTGGGTTACCCTGTGACCTTCACTTTTCTCCTAGACGTGCTGTCTCATGCTTGTTTTGTGTTCTTGATGATCAAATTAACCCTACATCACATATCTCCTTCTCAACTAATACTTTAAATGCCAAAAGGCTAATAAAACTTCATTTTTTAGATATATGTACCATGTTGTGAAGTTAAAACATTATCTATCCTTTGATAGCAACTGTATTTGGTGTAAAATAAAAACAAATAGACATGAAAGGTAGACTTGAAACCAGCTTTATATTTCACTGTGGTATGTAGAGAGATGTAATGGCATTTGTAAAAAGAGTGAAGATGCTGTGAATGCTATAATATTCTCAAATATATCTTCACCTGCACATACACTTACAGGCAGCCACTACTGGATAAGGTACCTGCCTCCACATGCAGTTTTGAGATGTCCAGCCTTTGCCAGCATCTTGCATCCAGCAGTGCCAGGCTAGCAATTTAATTTGAGTGAGCTGAGCCTGACGGCAAGACATTCCAGGGGGCCAGGAGCATGCTGTGTTGCTTTCATCGCAGTTAGTGTGTCGCACCCACCGAGGCCAAAACACCGGGCCCAGATCCACCCATGTAGATGTTAGCTGGCAGCTTGCTTTCTGTACAAGCCACCGACGCAGTTCATTCAACAAGACCTGGCTACTATTTTCAGACAGTTCTGCTGGCAGTCTGAGAGCACCAAAGTCAATATACTGTGCCTCCTGGGTAAGCTTCTTTCGGTAGCGACTGGCACCCTCAAAAAGGTCCTGGCTAAATGCCGACAGATGTTTGTTGGTATCATTGTGTATTGGTTTCTCCACAGACATCCAGAATGGGTCAAAGGAGGACCCCAGAAGCCGAAGTAAACGGGGCACACGGAGGTGCTTTGGTTTTGGAGAATAGTGATAATCCATAGGTGACAAGGACAGACTGTAAGGACGGGTACCAGAGGAAAGTCTCTGTCGCAAAGTAGTCACATCGAGGTCTGCTTGCTTCTCATCAAAGCGTTTGAAGTCTGCTGTTTGATTGGACATTGATGAAACCCAGGGTATCCCAAGAGGCATCAAGCAGATGATGAAAGTGTACTGTTCAAGAAATCCCATTTGATATTTAGGCTTTTTCATGTAAAATGTTTCTACTGGGAAGTATTCAAAACCTTCTCTAAGCTGCCTGTTGCCTGTCACACAGTGCTGCTCGGTGTCTCCTGCCTCTCCCCACTTCAGTGTATCTCTGTTCACTTGTCTCTTGCAGTATGTCATTGAAGTCTGGCCCTGCCTTCTTTATCAATCTTTTAATCCGTGCATAGTTTAGAAGTACTCCCACTTCTGGCCCATCTCCCCTCTCACCCTTTATAGTTACTATTGTCAAATCTAAAGTGTAGGAAAATGTTGAAGCCTCATAAAATACAAATAGAGACTGGGAGATTCTTTTAACCTGCCAGTCACCAGCCAATAAATACTATACATGAACCTGCATCTAAGAAAAAGAAGAATTTCTGTTTTAAAATGTTTACTTTTATAGCCAGGCACATATTGTAGTATAAAAATAGGATTTGTGAGAGGTTTCTCACTTCTTTTTCATAACATAACTGATCAGATCTGTAATAGCAGAAAAAAAGATCTCTCTTTACTAAACAAATATTGTTTTCCATTAAATGAATGATCTTTTTGCACACTCATTTTTATCTTAAGAATAATTGTTCCAGTGTGCATTTTTTATACCTTGAAGCTTCATTACTGCCTCATGGTATCAAATCTTCCAAACACTGTAGAGCATTCCTTAAACTGACAAAGTTTCTGCCAGCCATGCAAGTTAATTATGTAAAACGGACAAGGCAGAAAGTTAGCAGACGCTATTGGCGTCGACCACCTCAGGTAGAATAGTGATTGAAGGCTGATAGGCACCTTCTGCCACCATAAAAACATTAACTGAGCACACTGGATGGTGCAGATATAACCACTTTAACAATAATGCTATTAAAATGCACTTACAATGAAGTGACTTGATCAGGACCCATCATCTCCTGGAGTACCAGGTCATAGCAACAAACGCTGGAACACTCTTACTAGGATGCCCGCAATAGGAAAGCACAAAAGCACCAAGATAGAAACATAAAGGTGGACACTGGAAGCAGCAAGTGGAAATTACTTCAAAGTTGTTTAAAAAGGAGGAGGGGGACCATATATGTATCCTGACTAGTAGTGTAACTCCAAGGAACTGACATGTTTCAGGGCTGTGTCCCCTCTTCAGGGTGACTCTGTTTATTAAAATGGTTTTATCTTTACTATCCAGTGCGCTCTGTTTCTGTGTTTATATTTTGCATGTACTATATATGTGGCCCTTGGATATGCACAGAGCTTGTAATGCTATGAGAAGGTGTTCTGGTACCAGCGAAGAGCAGTTCATTTGAAGATATGTTTTTCTGCCACCATGCACATGATCTTGTCACCCAATACAAATCCAGACAAATACAGTGACTGCTTTCTAATGTCTATGGGCTCATTTAGGCCTGTTGGAAAATAAATCAACTATTGAAAGCGTGTATTGGTGTATTGTATTGGTTCTAATTGGTGTATTAGAAAGCTATTAGAAAAAAGCTTTTCCATAAATATACATGATTGCATATGCATGTTTATGACCCATAGCAAAAAAAACCCTACTGCTGGCCTAGCCTTTCCTCCATTCTTTCTGTTTAATTCATTCTGAGCAATCAAATATATGCACATGCACTCACAATATTGGTCAGCTAAGGTGTGTCTGCAAAAGGTAGAGTCTGTAGTCATATCCAGCATGATCTTTGCACATAATACATTATGATTTGAGCATTTCTTCAACAGATCAGGTAAGGATTGGATTATGTAAGCAAAGCAGTTTTTTTTTCTGCTACCAGGATCTTTGACACAATACAAAATTCTAGAATTTAGGAAACCCAACTCTCCCCTAGCAAAAATCACCCAACTCTTCCCCTACCCAGCAAAAAACTCTTTCCTCAAGCAACCCCCCTTCCTCCATGAACAGCTTCCCGCACAAGCAAAAATCACCTCTTTCCCAAAGGGCAATCTCCCCCCAAAAAAGTCACCATTCACCGCTGCATCACTTTTAACCCTTCATCCATCACCACTCACCTTTGCTCACCTTATTCTCCCACACTCCCCTTTTAACCCTTCGGGCCATCATTGCTCATTTCTGCACCCACTTTCCATATCAACATTTACCTCTGCACCACTTCCTCTACCACCGCACACCTTTGCACCCCATATTTTATCACCGCTTACTCCATTACTCCCTATTCCACCACCTCTCCCCTTCTACCATTGCTCACCTTGCACAGGCAGGACAGAACATGTGGCTGTGGGTGGTCCTTGTATAGTGCCAAATGAAGGGAAAGCTATAGGCAGGGCAGTGATTTGCAGGAAGGGCAGCACTGACTACAAGTAATATGGTGCAGAGCTGCATCAAACTGGCAGTTATGTAATTTGTAAGTAATTCACTGAGCCCATGCTGCATTCATGATAGCTCAAAGAAAGTGAAATGATGCTGGCCGACATGGCAGTAGGTTAAATTAAATCTTAAACCCCATTCACTAAAAACTTTTATAAGCTTTAGCATGCTAATGCAATTTCAACCCAACCCATTCATGGTTTGAGGACACAGTGAACTAATGTGTGATTTCACCACCAAAGCATTCAACTACCAATAATGCACTTCCTGTCCATTTGAACTGAAGACTATTGTCTAAGAAGGGCAAATAAGGGGGCGTTTGGATAAGCTAGCTCCCTAGCTATAAAAGGTTTGGTTCCCAGCAGCCATACTGATGTTGTTATTAATTGATAGGGTTGGGCTCGATGTTCGAGCCGAACGTGAGATCGACTCGAACACCACTAGTTTGTGTGTTTGCCTTCTGAAGCCATAATTGGCTAAAGCCTTACACCTGACCACAGGTCAGGTGCAAGACTTTGCCCAATCAGGGCACAGAGAACTGTGAGAGCCATGATTGGGCAAAGTCATGATGACTCTGCCCAATCATGGCTCACCTGTTACAACTGTCACTGCTAGCTTCGCCCAATTGTTTAGAGGTTGCCGGCATCTGTCAAAATGCCATTCTGCAGTGGACCGGACGGCGGTCGTTTTTTTAATTATTATTTCTATTTTTTATTGTTTTATTTTTTATTTCGTCGAGGAGTCGTCATGGACAGCGCTGAATGTTGTAATTGACCCTGGATTATGTTGATGGATCAATTGTTTGGGGTTTTTTTTTTTAATAAAGGACTTTTTTGTTTTTTTGAAATAAAGGATTTTTGATTAAAGTCTGGTATTTTTAGTTCATCTATTTTCTAACCCTTTAGTGAAAGGGGAGGGGTACAAGTACCCCTTACTCATTCACAGGGGGGGCGCATCTGGGTGCCCCTTTTTTAAATGGGCACCCCAATGTGAATAAACCCCCTGCCTGCTCCCCAACAACCAACGCCCCAGGGCTTGTGGGGAAGATGCCCTTGTCCCCATTGGCACGGGGACATGGTGCTTTTCCAGGAGCGACCCTGGAAAAGCACCCTCCCAGTGCAGAGGACATGTGGCCTTGTATCACGGGGGGGGGGGGGGGGGGCGC